ACACAAATTAACAGGTTAGGAAGAAAAAATATTTTTTTTTTTTTCAAAATGACATGCGCCTGTGGGGATGACAGGATATTAAACCCCGAGCATGTTAAGGGTTAAGTGTTTGTAATAGAATTCCCTACAGGAGTATATGTATATAAAGTCCAAAAGCCTGGCGTACCACTCGCACCAAACAGAGAAATTGACCATGCGTTACCCGTGAGCGCGCACGAGCAATAAAATGTGTATACCCAGTACAGTACTCTTTTTCACTTTGGTTACCTCAATTCTCGTCCTAGGTCTTTTATTTTGGTATCAATGTGTTTACAATAGAATTCCCTACAGGAGTATATGCATATAATGTCCAAAACCGCGGTTCGCCCCACCCGCAGCCAAGCCAAAATCAGGCCATGCATTACCCGTGAGCGAACACCCATTGGCCCACCCGCTACACCCTCATATCCAGCTCACAAATGTTTAGTATTTTTTTCCGTTGATAACAAATTTTCGTGTTACAGCGCTCATTTTGGTATCAAATTGTTCCCAATAGAATGCTTTAAAGGGATATATGCATATAAGGGCAAATAGAAGAACAACATTACCAATACGATAAGATAGTAGCATCGGGTAGCATACAAGTTAGTCTCATAGACGATAAATTTGAACAAACTTTGAGTAAGAAATAATTGTACAAATCCCAGAGGAGTGCTAGGTACAGGACAAGTCAAGCCTGGTATTCCTGTAAAACTGTCTACGAAGGGTGGAGTATTGTCAGTAGACCAGGCTTCATCAGAACATGTTGATGGGGTATGTATGGCACCCACAGTACGAGTTCCAATACCACATCATGCACGTGTGGCAGTACGAACATCGTAATCCTCACTCCCCTCACTTTCAATTTCATCATCATCTGCTGTTTCCATTTCAATGAATTCACTATCTAAATCACTGTCACTATCAGCGTTTTTTTTATATCAGATAAATCATCGCATATAGCCTGGAATTTTGAGGATGAATGTCTCAACCTCTGTACTTTTGGTGTACACTATTTAGCTTCTCTCTCTGAAGTGTTTCTTTCACTGATTTCTTCCTGGATTGGCTCTGTTCTTGATCACTATCCATCTTGGAGTAAATGCAGAGAATTTTTAAAGCCACAGTAAGAAATAGAGCCAAGGAAAATAGCCGGAACGTTCACACATTTGGGACGCGAGGGGAGGCAGGAGCAGTCACTAGCATGGAACAATAACAATGGGCCTACCTCCTGGTTCGCGCTGCCTCAGTGCCACATGGGCCATCACTAAAATGGGAAGACGTTGGCAGCAATTTTAAAACCAGTCCCAAAAAATCTAATGAAAACCTGAATTATAGCAAATTTTTAAATTTTTGATGCCATACTGCATCATTCCTGCACATTCATCTAATAAATTTTTTACACCATACTAAGTCTTTCCCGCACATTTGTCTAATAAATTTTTGACGCCATACTGCGTCATCCCCACGTGAAAATGTTAAGTCTAGCTAGCCTGTGGTCTATCCTCGCGCCCACGACATTCAGAAGTTTGCTGCTTTGGCTGCCATTTTTGGCAACATGTCTTGGGCTGATATTCGGCCATGGGGATTTAGGAGGTCAAACAGGACCCTGGTCGCCCGTTATTTGGTCAACATTCCTGGTCCTGGACATTCACATGTTGCTTTGGGTTGCAGCCAGTTGTCTCGACTTAGAGTTAAGGAGCGAGTGGCGGCTGCCTCCCGAGTAAGTCCCTCTTTTCTTTATCTTTGGTTAGGTAGCTCCAGGGAGCCAAAGGGGCTCCCCACAGAAAACCAGCGTCGAATGTAATGAAATGCAATTTTCTGGGTGAGCCCCGGAGGCTCCTTGGCATCATCCCTTCCTCCCTCCCTCCATTCGGTCAGCAGATTTCACATTGTTTTGATGCTAGCCTCCAAACTGGGGCCGCTGGAAAGTTGGCACAAAGGGTCCCGGCTCCCCCCTTCCCCTTCCCGGGGGGTAAGGGGGCTGGACGAACAAACAGTGCTATGGCGGTTTGTGACATTTGCTTCTTTGATTGTTTCCTTGGGAATTGGGGGAGTTCTGCTTCTCTGTTCGGTTTTCTGTTGTAACTTTCTTACCATGTGGGGTCTGTTTTGTTATGCCTACCTTTCTGGGTGCCTAACCCTGCTTGATGGTAAATTTGGAAAGCCCCCCCAACCAAAGGGGGGGGGTTCCAGGGCCCATTGCTCCCTTTGCTTCTCTGAGGGGGCCAGATTCTGGCTCGTTGTCCCCGGTATGCTGAACTCCATTGACTATTGCCCTAGTCTAATATATCGCATATTAACCTGATAGCTCCAGGAAGCCTTCGGGGCTCAGCCAGAAAATGGCGTTTCATTACTTTCAATGCTGGGTTTTTTCTCTTTTTTGTAACTGTTTATTGAATGTCCTCTGTAATATCTTTAATCTCAGTTTCTTTCGTTAATGCATTGATCGCTACCCAAGACATTTCTTCTGGGTTTTTTGTCTTTATTCCTTAAAGTGGTCCACAGTTATGAGATGTCTAATGTGTTGGTACATGACGTCTCATTGCTGCCCAGCTGGGTGGGAATGGATAATGGTCAGGGTCTCCTTCCTATTGTTATGCAACACTTTACCTAACTAGAACTACAGTATTGTATTTGCATCCACTGTATATGTGATTCTATTCCACAATTTTGTAATCTTGTGCTGTATGTTCTACATCTTGACAGGAAGCATTGAGGCAATTTATTTATTTTCTCCAGTCTGAGTGATGTTGTAGCTGCAGAGTTTTTTTGGCCTTTGATATTACTCATTTCCCTGTGGCCCAGGTGCCTTAACCCATGTCCTTCCCTACCATTCTCCTCACTCAGATTGGCCATTGGTGTTACACAAGCACTTTTCAGGCTCTCCAGAGATCTCAGATGTGGAGTTTTTGGGTTGTATCTACTGCCACCTGAATGTTGAACAATTGACAGTACTCCTTATCAATATCTTTGTGCTTCCTCTTGTTGGTAATATTTGGTGACTTGGAAGGCATACCACCAGCATCTTGTCTTCTGACTATCTTCTTCTGGTATCTGCTCCTCTTATAATTTTTCATTCTTTGCTTTTCAACAGAAGGTTGTTCATGGATAATACCATCTCCTCCTTTAGGGCTGTTCTGCAATATTATGCTTTCTGTGGGAATGGAAAGTGATGTTGTATGTTTCTACCTGAATCCCTCATTCTTATTATAGAATGAATAGGATTTGGTTCAGGCTTGCTTTATTTTCCAAACTGCTTATCATCTCTCTTTGGTTGTGTCTTTGTACTGGCAAGTTCAGGCTCCATGTCACTTTCATTTGGAGTCTCTCTTTTGTTATAACCAATTGCCATTCTCATATACAGTACAGTACCTGTATTGTGTAATGTGGTCAACATTAGCTAGCCACCACAGGTTTATGTCAGTGTTGATGGTCTGCAAAAGTTCACCACATTAAAAGCATTCTTCTTCACTTATTAACTCTCCTCTGCTGACTTGAGGGCTCTAGAGTTTTGTAGGTCATACTGTACAGTTGTATTCCAGTGTGTTGCACAATTTGTTGCAGTTTGACTGCTTTCTTCCAGATGATCATGGTTCCAGGAAGTGTGAGGTATAAATACACACAAAGGGATGAGTTAGCTCAAGCTATTCTCACATGTTGTACTAAATAGGGTGAGAATATCTTGAGCTACCTCATCCCTTTATGTGTATTTCAATTAAATTCCAGGAAAGCCGGAATTTTTGAGTCACCTTAGATGCAAATTGCCTCCTTTTCCTGCATCTCCATCTAGTACTAATGTGCAGCACATTTAGGTTCAGCCCCCCTGTTTGTGTTGGTAGTTCTGGCCTTTTTGGGTACACTTACATAAGCAAACAAATGGTACAGCTCAAAAATAAGGTTTGGAATGCTGATGATTGTTTCATTATAAGCAAGACATCCAGTTGCTCTTATTTCCTCCTCCTCCTCTATTCCAACACACCCTGTGCTTTATCAGTAGTTCTCCTCATGTGGGACGTGAGGTTATAGAGTCAGGAGTGCCCTGTTGACAAGTAGGTGCTGAGGTGGTCAGGATAGAGTGGCAGGTCAGTCCAACTAACAGTGAGAGCATCTCTTAGCAGTCCCTTTGATACCAAGTATTGCTTAATAGTGCATCAAGTTTAATTGATTTAGCTTCTTGTGAACTTTTCTAGCTGGCTTGAGATGTCTCCAGTATCTCTCATACACTAGTATGATCTAATGGATATTTAAAAAGAGCACTTTTGGTCCCATTCAGAATTTTGGCCGGGCATAATTGTGCAGTCTTCTTCCATAGGAACATTAGAACCTTGTGTAGGGGAACAAACTATTGCCTTGCTCAGAAACTAGCTTTTCAGTTACATGAAAGTTACAGTTACATGAACATTATTTATTCTTCCTAACCAAACTGCCACTTTCATTTCACCTTGTACTCACCTTTCCTGACTTTACTCTTAACTTTGCTTGTAAAAATTGTTCTTAATACTCAGCAGTGTAATAATTTATGTGATTGAAGATACCTTGACAGTTATTATTACACTGTACTTCTAAACTAAACTGGATAACACTTGCCCAAAATGCTCTGCATGTTAGTGGCTTTGCTTGAATGCACCAATTAATCACCAAAGCCTGTAATAATTTAACTCACTGTATCTTTTTGTACAAATAAATAATGTACTGTATTTGTATAATAGAAATGAAAAGAACATTATTAATTAAAAGTTATTAATGATGTTTTAGCTGTTACAGCTGTTACTGAACTGTGTACAAAGTAAAATAGTTCAGATTACAGTATCAGAATTTCTATGAAATATTTCATGTAATTTCCTATCTTCAGTTGCTGACATTAAAAATAGGAAAATTTGTTACCACTTTTAAAAGTAATTTTGAAGACATGTAGTTTCTGAGCTTTTGGATTTAGAACAGTTATTGTAGATCAACAACTAAGGTTCTTCTCTCTTTCCCAGGAGTTCTTGCTGTCTCCAACTCAGCTTGGTGTTCCAAACTCTCGGCTGAGATACTACTTGTTAGCTAAGCAGAAACCAGCTTCTTTCTGCTTTAATTTGTCCAACAAGGTACTGTATGTTATAGTAATGAAAATTTAACTTTGTATTAATAATGTCATTTCTGGGGGGACCCCCGTCGGCTCCCCGGAGCTATCCAGGTTGAATGGATATGTATAACTTTCTGGCATCGGTCAAAGTGCTTGGAGTTCTTGCCTACCGGGAACCACGAGCCAGAACCTGGCCCCCTCAGAGTGGCACGAGGAGCAATGGCCTATAGAAACCCCCCCCTGTGGTTGGGAGCATTCTATGTCTGCCATCAACCGGGATAGGCACCCAGAGAGGTAGACGCTCCAAAACAAACCCCCTAGTCTGGTGAAAATATTGCTACCGAAAGCCGAATGAGTGGACAGAACTCGCCCAAACAAAATTATCAAACTAGCATGACGTCATCACATCGCTGCGCCGCCATCTACACAACCTCTCCCCTCCCCGGGAGGAGGAAGGGGTAACCCCAGACCCTCTGTGCCAGCAATCCAACCGGCAGTTCTTGGCTGATGTGGTTACTGGCCAGTCGGGTGCCTTTGGCTCCAGTTTTGTTTCAGTTCTGTGCCTTGTGGTGTGGGATGTCTCTACAGGTAGTGTGTGAGGTTGTCTTGAGGTTATCTTGAGATGATTTCAGGGCTTTTTAGTGTCCCCGCGGCCTGGTCCATGACCAGGCCTCCACCCCCAGGAAGCAGCCCGTGACAGCTGACTAACACCCAGGTACCTATTTTACTGCTAGGTAACAGGGGCAGAGGGTGAAAGAAACTCTGCCCATTGTTTCTCGCCGGCGCCTGGGATCGAACCCAGGACCACAGGATCACAAGTCCAGCGTGCTGTCCACTCGGCCGACTGGCTTCCTACTCGGGACCAGTACTCAGGCTGCATGTGCCTAGGTGACTAGGGCTCTCTTCCCTCGGTGCCCTGTAAGTACTGCCCTTGGGGCTTGGGGCCACCTTCCACAAGTCACCTTGGGATCTACCTCCGCTGTGTCCTTTACTGCTCGATACCTGGCCACCCTTGGAGTCAGTTGGGGTTTTGTTGCCCTTGTTTGTCTCTGGGTAGAAGGTAGTTTTCGTCATTGGTAGGGGCGCGGGGTGCTGCACAGCTAGTTTTCACCAATAACAGCGGCCGACTCTGTTACGCCTGGGTACGTTGTCCTCTTGCAGGGCTTTTATTTTGTTTTTGTTTTTTTGTCTGGTTGCGGGGGGTGTGCCTTTGTGGTCCCCCTTTGCTGTTCCAGGGGAATTTATATACAGTATGTATTTTCTGTTTTGGTGGTACAGTACTGTCTCCACTCAATTATCCGGACTATATGGGAAGGACCCCCAGCCGGATAATCACGTTTTCCGGATTAGAGTATTTTTTCACCTCTGAGTCCAAAAGTGACCATTTTCAACTATTTTTATACTACAAACAACATAATTTGAATTACCTTTCCACATATAATTATTAAATATTCAACTAGAAACCTCAACTTAACTTGATGATGTTCGTCTTCTTGATTGATGCCACACATCTTGAAGTTAAGAATTCTTGACAATTTGCATAACCTATACTAACACAACACTAAAATTAACACTTAAAATTACTGTACAGTTCATTAAGCAAAGTTAGTTTTGACTGCCAGCTGCTAAAGCCTCACTGGTTAAAGGCACTTGGGTTGCCTGTGATGCCTCACTTGTTGAAGGCACTTGGCTTGCCTGTGACGCCTCACTGGTTAAAGGCACTTGGGTTGCCTGTGACGCCTCACTGGTTGAAGGCACTTGGCTTGCCTGTGACGCCTCACTAGTTGAAGGTGCTTGGCTTGCATGTGACACCTCACTGGTTGAAGGCGCTTAGCTTGCCTGTGACCTCACTGGTTGAAGGCGCTTGGCTTGATTTTCTTACCATATAAGAATCAAGTTTAGCTTGCCTTCTGTGTTCATTGGCCTATTGTATGATCAGCTCTTGGTTTCACCTCAGGTACTGATACATGTTTCCAACTTCTGGATTAGCACAGTTGGATGAAAAATTAATTTATCCGTCAACATAGGTCATGAGTAAACTGTATTTTGTGGTCAGTGGTGTTGGTTCTTCACCGCCTTATTCATCCTCCTCCTCTTTGTCGACCTTGCCAGTAATAGACTGGAGAATCTCGTCTTCACTCATCACACCATATCCTGGGTCATTGGCAACTCTTTCAAGCCAATCAACCACATCCTGTCTTTCTAAGTTTTTGCTAGCATATCTGAACATTCCATGGATTTCCCTCTAGTCCTCTTCCTAGAGGACTAGAGGCACGGTGAGGTTTCCCTCTAGTCCTCTTCCGTGCTTCTTGTCTTTTGATTCTGTTTTCGCATTATTTCGTCTTCACATTGTCTCTCCTTCCTGTCTTACCATTCTAATTATTCGTTCCGTATGCCTTGCTGGTGCCCTCCCTGGCAGACAGGTGTGTGGTTCGGTCCTCAAAGGGGGAAGGGGCCTTGGGGAATTTTTGTTCTTGTTTTGGGTGGTGTACACATGTGTTGGTGTTCCGCGTCCTTTCTCGTGGATTCTACACCGATCTCACTCCTCTTATCTCTAGTCATAAGCCTCTGGATACTCGGGGTGTTCTGGATTTTGTGTGTGGAGCAATCTTCTAGATCTTTTCTCGCTTTGCGAGTGTGGGGTGACTCTTGAGTGGCGCCTCCTCCGCCTCTGTACTGCATGCACCTTGTCTTCTCCTACTGGGCACGCACCTCTGGACATTCTCCACTAGGAATGCTCTTGTTACATTGCATGGCTCAGCTGTGTCGTTACATGGTGGTGTCTCTGTTCTGCAGGTGAGATTGTACTGTCTGGCGACTCTGTCGGCCAGGTGCTGGTTCTCGCTTTTTGGTGGGGTACTCACCTAGTTGTGCTTGCGAGGATTGAGCTCTGGCTCTTTGGCCCCGCCTCTCAACTGTTCATCGACAGGTGTACAGATTCCTGAGCCTGCTGGGCTCTATCTAATCTACATTTGAAGCTGTATATGCCATCTGCCTCCACCACATCTCTTCCTAGTACATTCCATTTACTAACTACAATGACATTGAAATAGTTCTTTCTCATGTCTCTTTGGCTCATTTGGGTACTTAGCTTCCACCTGTGTCCCCTTGTGCGTGTACCACCTGTGGTAAATATTCCATCCTTGTCTACCCTGTCAATTCCCCACTTGACAGGGTAGCATCAATGGCACCTAACAGGGGTGTTGGTTGTTGTGTGTTTTGCTGGGACTCTTTGCGTGTCTTACAGTGCCTTTACTTTGTCCGTGTATCTTGTTCTTAGTTGTACTGTGGGACACTGCCCCGAATTTCGATGCTTTTTGTTTAGTTTTTCGGCGCCTGGGTCTTTTCTTGTTATTTGGACACTTCTTCGTATAGTACAACCTCGATTCAACGTACCCCGATTCAACAAATCTCCGGCTAGTTCGCACACTTTTCAGGCTGGATTTACTCACCCAGTTCGATGAACAATGGTTCGCTGAAGCGGGGGATGTTCGGATTTGCTTACGATGTCCAGACAGAGTTCACAGACTGGTGGAAAACTTTCATATTCCATCACAGGTTACAATTTATAATTCCTTCATATGACAAGTTGGATCACACAAGTGGTCCACAAGTTTACAATGTTGGTACATAGTCCACAGAGTGGTGGAAAACTTTCTCATTCCATCACAGGTTACAATTAATAATTCCTCCATAAGACAAGTTGGATCACACAAGTGGACCACACAACAAGTGAACCATATGGACCAAACACCAGCCAGAATGATCCACACAACAAGTGAAGCATATTACGTAAACACCTGCCAGAGTTGTCCAGACATGTGAACGACTGAGTTTCCATGATTTTCGTTCACTGGTTTGTGGCACACGTATCTTTGTAAATTAATTTAAAGGCTGAAGTGTGAATAGCTAGCTAATGTGTTGAAATCTTCTTATAGACATTTTCTGTGATGAAACAAGATGAGTGAGGGTGGACAGATAAGGGAATACTGTACAGTAAACCTCACCTTTACAGCGAGGTTTCACTCACTTTCGTCTGTGTCATCATAGTTCAGTGACCCATGACTTTGAACGTTTCAGATTAATAAATCATTTCTAAAACTGGTGTTTTAATAACTCTTTATTATCCTAATTAAACTAAACTAAATAAAAACAAAAATATACTGTAATATGATAGATATCTGCTTTTTGAAAAATTATTCATGTTATTGGCGGCACAAGTCCAGCGCGAGTGGACGGGTCTAATCCGTGTGCACACAACACCATGCGTGTTTTCTTCGATTTTGTCGCCACAGTTCGGTGACCTACGGCTTCGAAATAATAAAATTAATAAATCAGTTCTAAAATAAGTATTTTTTATAGCTCTTATTATCGTAATAATGTTGATAAAAAATATATATAATCCAAAAATATATAATTTGATGTAAATCCAATATTTGAGAGAAATTTATGTTACTGGATCTGGCTTAAACACCAGCCTACTGTAAGGTGTATAGACCTAGTCTGCTTTCGTACAGTAGGCACCCAGTGCCCTTAACTTTGTCTGCGATTGACGTATTTATCCGCTGGTGGAAGAATAATCGTGGAATTTACCATTTTTTTACTACAGCTGTATTGTTATACAACAAAATGTCTCAGGGGCTTGCTAATAGTCCCTTATTAATGTAAAAAATTAAGCAATATTTTGCAAGAACTAGTAGCAGAAAATCAACCAGCACGAGCAGAGCCGTACCCAGTTCGAGCACAGCTGTATCTAGCACGGAAACAATCTAGTTAACCTCTTGAAGATGTCCACTGTTGTTCCGGCAATATTTCTTATGGTTGCTGGTAGGGTGTTGACCAACCGCGGCCCTCTAATGTTTATACATTGTTCTCTGATTGTGCCTATGGCACCCCCTGCTTTTCACTGGTTTTATTCTGCATTTTCTTCCATATCGTTCACTCCAGTACGTTGTTATTTTACTGTGTAGATTTGGTACTTGGCCCTCCAGTATCTTCCATGTGTATATTATTCGATATCTCTCTCCTCTTCTTTCTAGTGAGTCAACCCATCCTCCGAATTGACAGTACGATTTAATACTAAGTGTAATAAGTACACTTTCTAACTGTCATAACCAGTGCATAATTGCACTTATGGGGCTGTTACATTTACCCAACTCCCTCCCCCGATTTAATTCCCCTCGTTTTCTGTTAAGACACACAGAATTTTAGGATGAAATTTTCAATTTCAATTTGCAATACACAAGTTTTAAATATCAAGAATATTTTTTCTGGTTTATTAAACAATATAGATTTTATACAAAATTTTAAAATATCCAGAGTTATTTTACAATTTATTGATATATTTTAGTTTTGTTTTATTAGTTTTATAAAACTGTAATATCAATATAGCTATAGGTTAAGTACTAATTGTAATTAAGAAGCAATAAAATTATTATCTTCAAAAACTAAGACGGTTAGGTGAGGTTGTGGTTTTCTATTCAGTTTTTGGGGTAAACTCAAATATTCACAATATATTTGACAGTACGATTTAATACTAAGTGAAAATAAGTACAATTCCTAACTGCTATGAATAGTACATAATTGCACTTATTTGTCTCCTTACATTTACCACCCCATTTTTGGAGGACGGGCTGGTTCTTTCATTTTTCCTTGTATCTCATTGCAGGCTTCTGTGTTGCAATGTCTGCGGGTGGTTGTGGACTTCCGGTCAACCGCTCTTGCCCTACTGGTTCCTCTTCTTGGGATACGGGTAGCTAGAATTCCGGTCCTGGCTATGGCTTTTTTTGTTCCTTTTCTGGAACGTACATTTTTGTTTTCCTACAGTACACATCCTGTATAGTTCTCCTCATGTATACCCCGGAGACGCGTGCATCATTCTTCCCTGCTGGAGCTGGTGGCGCTGCTCCTTCTGGTTGCGGGGTCACTGTTTTTCACTTCGCGTCTCGTGCTTTAGTTCGTTGTGCTCGTTTTCCGCGTTGGCCTCTGCCTGGGCTCTGGCTCTTCGGTGTTTGGCCTTGTTGGTCCTTCAGGGGTTCTGGGGAGGGGGATTCCTATCAGACGGGGCATGTCTGCTCCCCCGGGAAAGGGGGAGCAGACATGCCCCTTGGTTCCTTCCTGCTCGCTGGGATTGGGCTCCTGATTCCCTGGCGGCCGTTCCTTCTGGTTCTTTGCCAGCCTTGGTTGGGGGCGCTGCTTTCCTCGGTTTCCAATCTTAGGTCTTCCCGCGGCTCTGCCTCTTCTTGCTGATTGGTCCAGCCATGTTTGAGGCTGGTTCGTATTTTCCCTCGAGTCTTCGCATCTCGGGTTTTTGTCTCGAGTTTCTCTTCACTTGTGTGGGCACTACTGGCTTCGTTGTTGGTCTCCCACCTGTGTGCTTTGTCTCAGTGGCAGTGTGTAGTTTTCCTGGCAGTCCTTCCGGTTTTCCTATCACTGCAAAGAGTTCTTCGGTCTCATAGGGTTGTCTTGCCTTTCCCTTCGGAGTTGTTCTAGGATTGTCGTCTGGTGCCGTGTACTGTCTCCTCGTCTTGGGAGGCGCTGGTGTAGCTGCTCCAGCTTACATTCGGTGTTGCTGTTCCTTCTGCTCCGTTCCGCTTGCTGTCTTGGGCGTCGTTTCACCTCTGACCTGCTCTTGCACTTCCAGTGCCATCCTGGTTGTTGGCCTGGGTGGTTTATTTTCTTTCTTCTCCTCGGTTTGTCGGCAATTCTGGTGTTTTTTTTTTTTTTTTTTTTTCAGGTCTCCTTATTCTCTTGGTGTTGACCTCTAGGGGTGGGTTTGGGGAGTTTCCGGCGCCTGTGTTTTTTCTGCCTCGTTTGGTCCTGGTGGTACAGGCATACCTCAGAATACGAGTTTAATCCGTTCCTGGAGACGCCTCGCCTTCCGAAAACTCGCATTCCGAAGTTAATTTCCCCATAAGAAATAAAGGGAAATTAATTAATCCGTTCCTGACTACCCCAAAAACCCCACATCAAACTAAATTTTTATACCTAATTTACCTAATTCATCTAAATAAACCTACAAAACTGTGTTCCAGTTATTACTTACCTTGCTGTCGAGTGCTGTAGGCGTATGGAAGATGGTGAGGAGGGGGGAGGAGGAGAGGAGTTACTGTTTGGAAGGGGAGTCCCCTTCCATAATCACATCACATAACCCCATGCCTTGTAACACTATGGATACCACTTCTCTTTCTAAATTTTTCAAACCAGCCCCTGCTTGCCTTAAACTCTTTCTTATCTGCATCACTCGTTGCAGGGGTATTCTTTAGAAGGTCTTCGTGCAACACCCTGGCTTTCTCACAAATAATGGCCTCCGAAACACTATCACCCCTCAACTCCTTGTCGTGTATCCAAATTAATAACAACTTTTCCACTTCTTCAAGTATTTGTGGTCTTTGTGCCGTTAATGTTCTTACTCCTTTTGCCACTTTAGCACCCATAATCTTATTTTTCTTCTTAGTAGTATAGTGCATATTGTTGATGTGGCTTTGTTGTACTGCCTACAAAGTTCAACAACACGTGTACCGTTCTCATGCTTCCGAATGATCTCTTGTTTCTCCTCTATTGTCATCCTCACATGAGCTTTCTGGCCTTTATCCTTACCACTGGCTTTCTTGGGACCCATGGTGAGATATATAATAACAAATTGTATAGACAAATCACCAAAAATCCAACAAAACACTGAAAATCCGCGAGAAGAATTGATGTGGGGGTAGTCACTGAGCGCGAGACAATGGTAAACTGAGGGGCGACGATCGCCGAACCACCACGCGCTAGGTCGGCCTGTACGCGTATCAACAAACTCGCGTCCCGAAGTAACCCTCGCCTTTTGAGACAAATTTTTGGAGTAAATACTGCTCGCCTTCCGAAAACCTCGCATACAGGGACAATCGCATTCCGAGGTACCACTGTACCTCGGAATGCCTGTTTGTACCTGTTTGTTCGTTTGCTGCAATCTCCTTATTTTCGGGTGATGTTTGGGTCTGCTGTTTTCTGGAGGGATTCTTGGGTTGCTGCTTGGTTGGTCAGGCCGAGGGTGCTTCATTTGTTGTTCGGTTGCAGCTCTTCGCTGTTCTCTGCGTGTCTTGGCCTCTGGGGCCATGGACGCATTTTGGTTTGCCCGGGTTCCCTTCCTTCCCTCCTTCCTGTTCTGGGGTTCGGGTCTCTCAGGTCATCTGCAGGGTCCTTTTGTTTTGTCTGTGGTCTTATTTTTATGTTAGGACACATGGCGTCCGCCTCCTGGATCCTTTCCTCTTTTCCTTATCTGTGGTGAGGTAGCTCCGGGGAGCCAACGGGCTTTTCTGGGCTTCCCCCAGAAAATTAGTGTTGAATGTAATGAAACGCCATTTTTCTGTCTGAGTCCCGGAGGCTCCCCAGCATCCCTCCCTCCCTCCGGTCGGCGGTGTTTTTTTCGAATACAGTGGTACCTCGGAATGCGATTGTCCCTGTATGCGAGGTTTTCGGAAGGCGAGCAGTATTTACTCCAAAAATTTGTCTCAGAAGGCGAGGGTTACTTCGGGACGCGAGTTTGTTGATACGCGTACAGGCCGATTTAGCGCATGGTGGTTCGGCGATCGTCGCCCCTCCGCCCCGCCGCCCCTCAGTTTACCATTGTCTCGCGCTCAGTGACTACCCCCACATCAATTCTTCTCGCGGATTTTCAGTGTTTTGTTGGATTTTTGGTGATTTGTCTATACAATTTGTTATTATATATCTCACCATGGGTCCCAAGAAAGCCAGTGGTAAGGATAAAGGCCAGAAAGCTCATGTGAGGATGACAATAGAGGAGAAACAAGAGATCATTCGGAAGCATGAGAACGGTACACGTGTTGTTGAACTTTGTAGGCAGTACAACAAAGCCTCATCAACAATATGCACTATACTTAAGAAGAAAAATAAGATTATGGGTGCTAAAGTGGCAAAAGGAGTAAGAACATTAACGGCACAAAGACCACAAATACTTGAAGAAGTGGAAAAGTTATTAATTTGGATACACGACAAGGAGTTGAGGGGTGATAGTGTTTCGGAGGCCATTATTTGTGAGAAAGCCAGGGTTTTGCACGAAGACCTTCTAAAGAATACCCCTGCAACAAGTGATGCAGATAAGAAAGAGTTTAAGGCAAGCAGGGGCTGGTTTGAAAAATTTAGAAAGAGAAGTGGTATCCATAGTGTTACAAGGCATGGGGTTATGTGATGTGATTATGGAAGGGGACTCCCCTTCCAAACAGTAACTCCTCTCCTCCTCCCCCCTCCTCACCATCTTCCATACGCCTACAGCACTCGACAGCAAGGTAAGTAATAACTGGAACACAGTTTTGTAGGTTTATTTAGATGAATTAGGTAAATTAGGTATAAAAATTTAGTTTGATGTGGGGTTTTTGGGGTAGTCAGGAACGGATTAATTCATTTCCCTTTATTTCTTATGGGGAAATTAACTTCGGAATGCGAGTTTTCGGAAGGCGAGGCGTCTCCAGGAACGGATTAAACTCTTATTCTGAGGTATGCCTGTATACTGTATTGACATCCAGCCTAAGAACTGCCGGTTGGATCGCCGGCACAGAGGGTCTGGGGGCTCCCCCTCCCGGGGAGGGGGGGGGGTTGCGCAGACGGCAGCGCGGCAACGTGATGACATTATGCCAGTTTGATAATTTTATTTGAGGAGTTCTGTCCACTCGTTTGGCTTTCGGTAGCAATATTTTCACCAGAATAGAGGGTTTGTTTTGGGGTGCCTACCTTTCTGGGTGCCTATCCTGGTTGATGGCAGACATAGAAAGCTCCCAACTCCAAGCACTTTGACTGATGCCAGAAAGTTATATATGTACTGTATATCCAATCAACCTGGATAGCTTCAGGGATCCTCCGGGACTCACCCAGAAAATGGCATTTCATTACATTCAACATTGGTTTTTTAAATAAAATAGTGACATGTCCTTGAGTATTCTTTGTTAAGTTCTAGTGACTATTGATTATATCAAAATCTAATATTTATTACTGCTCATCAGGTGCAGAACGAGTTTCCACTTTGCCTCTGTGTTAAAGAGGAGGAAATGGTGACAAATACAACAAGATCTTGTCTTCATTGTGGCAGACCATTCTTGAAGTCTCTGCATTGCCTACTACACAGGTTCCACAATGCTTTGCATCCAGGATGCTTGCATGTAGGAGGTTCATATTCCGAATTTCTGCCATCGCTTGCCAGCTATCTTAATGTTGAAAATAACTTAGAATCATACTTCTTGAAGGATAAGATTTTAAACAAGTACCACATGATACTTGACATTGTAGACAGTGACTCTCGGAGATCTTGCTGTTTTACCAAAGGTTATGCTTATTATGTTGAAGGAACTGGTTCTGTTATACAGCACAATACCAAAGTAAAATTATCTGAAATTTACTCCAAAGTGCAAGAGCTAGATGCAGATAACCCACATAAAATACAATTGCTTCAACAACTTCAGTTGCGTTATTTTACTCCTGAGGAAGTGGCACAGCTGATGTGCTTTCCCAATTGGTTTAAGTTACCAGAGTCAATTACAAACAAGCAAAAATACAAAGTGTTAGGCAATAGTATAAATATACTGGTTGTGACATCCCTTCTGCTAATTTTAGCAGAAAGTTAATAAAAGTACTGTACCTGGAAAGTGGTTTTATTGTTCTACTTATGACATTATGTTTTCTTCTAGCACATTTGTTTACTAAATTAAGTTTTTGAAACATCTTATACAAACACCTTAATCTATTCCTGAATTGTATAATATTACTCAAATATTTAGAGAATTTCTCACTTACCAACCTCTCACTAACACTGTGCTGCCCTGTATTTAATAGGAAATGACAAAATCAATACCCTGGTACAAAAGCTTTTATCATTGTAAGGCCAGAGGTTGTACTGTGAGAAATGCTGAAGCTCTTGATACAGACCAGTTAAGCCTCACACTGCTCCAATTGTCAGATGCAATTTCTTCCTGTGCTCCAATTGCTAGCTGTTATTTCTCTGTGTGAATGTATGTATTCACCTAGTTGTGCTTGCGGGGATTGAACTCTGGCTCTTTGGTCCTGCCTCTCAACTGTCAATCAACTGGTGTACAGATTCATGAGCTTACTGGGCTCTATCATATCTTCATTTGAAACTGTGCATGGAATCTGCCTCCACCACATCACTGCCTAATGCATTCCATGTGTTAACTACTGACACTGAAAAAGTTCTTTCTAACGTCCCTGTGGCTCATTTGGGTACTCAGTTTCCATGTGTCCCCTTGTTCACGTACCCCCATGTTAAACAATTTATCTTTATCTACCCTGTTGATTCCTCTTAGATTTCTGTAGGGTGATTGTTTTCCCAAGCTCTCCTGTCTTCCAGCGACGTGAGGTGCATTTCCCGCAGCCTTTCCTCGTAATTTATGCCTCTTAGTTCTGGGACTAGCCTAGTGGCATACCTCTAAATTTTTTCCAGCTCAGTCCTGTGCTTGACAAAGTATGGGCTTTGGCCGCATACTCCGGGATTGGTCTTAGATATGTGGTATGCAAGGTTCTGAATGATTCCTTACACAGATTCCTGAAGGCAATTCTGATGTTAGCCTGATGTCTTTGGTTGAGAGGTGGGACCAAAGAGCCAGAACTCAACCCCCACAAGCACAACTAAGTGAGTACACATATACAGTGGTACCTCTGTTTTTTAATTTAATCCATTCCCAGAGACGGTTCAAAACCCAAAATTCAAAAACCAAAATAAATTTTTGGTTTTCTTCACCTTCACCCACCACAACCACACCTTCACCCACCACATCTGCATCTTCACCTACCACACCCACACCTACTACACCCACACCTTCACCTCCCACACCTTCACCTACCACACCAGCACCTTCACCCACCACACCAGCACTTTCACCCACCACACCCACACCTTCACCCACCTCTCCTACACCTTCACCTATCTCACCTACACCTTCACCTACCACACCAGCACCTTCACCAACCACACCCACACGTTCACAGCCACAGCAGGAGACGGAGCGACTGCAAGAACAGCTCCAACATGAGAAAAACTCCACCAGCGATATTGCAGAGCTGCTCACCTGCATGAGGGAACTTGGGAGCTTTTAAAAAAAAAAAAAATTGCTCCGAGGGGCAAGTTTATTGGGCACCGCCACTCATCCTGTGAGTGGACACACCGCCATAGCAGCATGTACAACACTCCCCAATAGGAAGAAAACCCGCTGGGTTGTTCATCCTGTCACATGTACCCAGACACAGCTGGGACTTGCTTAACTGTCTCAAGTGAACAGCTCCTCAAACAAGAAGATTAACATCTGTCAACCCTTAAAATCCTTCGTTATCTTGCGGGTGCAAAATGGGGGAATCTTTTAAGAACAGTATCAATATTTGACAAATAGTGTTTTCCTAACTCAAATAATGTGGGGTTTATTATTCTACACATACTTCTAATGTGTCTCAGGCGTTCACATTCACATAGATAGCAGTCAAGGCGGTGTCCGTCACTCTCATCACAGATTTTGCAACTCCGCTGGTCAACTGTCGTTTCCATTCCTAATCTCCATGGATATTTATATCCAAGACGGATTCTTGCTATTACTGATTCTCTCCCGCGGCCACCACCTCTTTGGCCATAATGATTGGGGTTGCCAGCTGCAATCATGTTGTACCATCGTACAGATTCACTGGTTTGTGCTTCTATCCTCTTTTCCTCAGTTACCTTGTCACGGTGATGTTGCCTGACAATACCTCTAATTTGTGAGCTATGACTGCCAAACTCTCCACCCCTGGACCCTCCCTTTCCCCTACCACCCTTCCACTCCTGGACCCTCCCTTCCCCCCTACAACCCTTCCACCCCTGGTCCCTCCCTCCCCCCTACCCCCCTTCCACCCCTGAACCCTCCAAACGTGTGTTCCGTTGCCACTCAGATGAAACTTCTAGTGATCTTGAATCTTTGTGTAGAGGAACCTTTCCATACAACTTAGCTGCCAAAGCTGTGCTAAGCTATATTGAAAACGACTTTATAGATAAAAAAGCAAAGTTTACTAGACAATTGGAGGAAAATGTGTTACATTGATAATATGCTAAGAAATGTTCCTGGACTGACACAGTAGTGAAATAGATAATATATATTAACTGGACTTAACAATCTGTATCATGCTTACTTTAACTGCACAAATAACAAAGTTATCCATCCTTAGCTGGAACATTACATCCATAAAAAAAGGTTCTCTGATTTATATCACAAAGTAACAAATAAACACATCGATATTGTAAGTCTAGATGTGCAGAGTTCTTGCAAGATCCTCACCCCCAAAATTGCCCTCATTTGTTTCTTACAGTCTCAGATCCAGTAACTCTTGCATTCTATATAATCAGCAATATAGCGGGTAAGTTTGTTCCGGATGTCTCGCCAGTCCTTCACCTCCATGGTACTATTGTGGCGGATCCAGTGACGGTCGCGATCGAACTGGGATTCAACTTTTCGACTGTTAACTCCAGTTCTCATCTTCCTCCATCTTTCCTTATTCGTAGGCCCGTTCTTGAATCTCATCCCTTAGATTTCGCACTCATCTCTAGCTTCCCAATAACGATCCCTTCTCTTTCCAAAGTTAAGTTTAACCTTGCCCTCTGCAGTTCTACAGCAGCGGGCTCAGATGACATTCATTATGAGATGCCCCGTCATATCCCTCCATGCGCGTCTCAGTATTTACTGAATCTATATACTGTAATCGTATCTGGGAGTCGTCGTCAGTCCCTGAGGACTGGTTTGAGGCGGTTGTTCTAATTATTCGGAAACCAGTGTCTCTAGGGACATCCCCTAAAGACCTCCGCCCCATTGCCCCTCACGAACTGCATCTGCAAACTCCTTGAACACATGGTCAATGTCCGTCTGATGAGGTTCTTGGAACACCTTCACCGCCTCATCCCTTCTCAATTTGGTTTTCGCAAGTGCCGTAGCATGACTAAAGTCTTAGTAAACTTGGAGGTCTATATTCATACGGCTTTTTCTGTTAAGACCTCCGTTGTTGCTGTCATTTTTTACCTGGAAAAGGCATATGACACCATCTGGAAATATCATATTCTGTCCCAACTCCGTTTTTTTTTTACCTTCGTGGTAATCTCCCTATCTTTCCCTGAAGCTTCCTCTCTAGTCATCCCTTTGGAGGGAGGCTTGGTACCACACTCTCTGCCTCTTTCCGACAATACGAAGGTGTGCTCCAAGGTAGTGTTCTAAGCACTACTCTCTTTTTTTTTCCTAGTTGCCCTCACTGGACTTCTTTCCTCCCTTCCCTCTGGCATCTTCTCAACACTCAATGTCGACAATCTTACCCTTTGCTGTCGAGGTGATGACTCGTCTTTCCTTCAACGACGACTTCAACTTGGGATTGATGCCGTGTCGTCTTGGGCCACCAATCATGGCTTCAAGTTCTCTATAACTAAAACTTGTGCTATGACTTTTACTCAGAAGCAGGTCGTTCTTCGTCCCCCCTTGTTGCTTTATGATCATTTCCTTGTGTACAAAGATTCTAATAAGATTTTGGGGTTAATCTTTGACACACTTGTCTTGGTCACTTTAAATCTCTTGCCTCCGAGTTGAATGTTCTAAGGCCCTTAACTTACTTCAAATTCATAATGTTTATTCAGGTAAAAGTACATACATTGAAGATGAGTTACAAACATAATGTTGGATTTAAAGATAGAGCTAGTACATGCAATATCTAAAGCCACTAATACGCACAACTTTTCGGGCAAGGTGTTGGGAAAAACCACTTAGAATAAAACTTAATAATTGAGATTAAAGTATTATGTCTTTATTATGTATTATTATAAGATTATTAAGATTGTCTTGAAAAAAGGAATAAAAAAAGGGGGGGAACTTGGCAAAAACCAGCATTTATACAAGTTGGTCAACAAACAGTATTGTTTGAAACTAGTAAGACATGGGTTGATATTTAGGGGTTAGGTAGGTTACATGGAGTTTATTAGGTAGTACTTAGTTTTTCTCTTGAACTGGTTGAGAGAGGTACAGCTTTTGACATGATTGGGAAGATCATTCTACATTCTGGGTCCCTTAATTTGTAGAGCATTTCTAGTTTGGTTAAGGTGCACTCTTGGAATATCAAATAGATATTTGTTTCCGGAGTGGTGCCCATGGGTTCTGTTACAACCTTCTAGGAAGCGTTGAAGGTCAGGATTGGCATTACAGTTCAGAGTTTTTAAATATATTAAGTACACATGAGAGGATGTGCAATGACTTAATACCTAATATATTCAAAGATTTAAATATGGGTGCCGAGTGCTGTCTGGGGCCAGAGTTTGATATTGTTCTAACAGCAGCTTTGTGTTGAGTAATTAAAGGACGTAGATGATTTTGGGTAGTAGAACCCCAAGCACAAATACCATAGTTGAGATAAGGATAGACAAGAGATTAATAAAGCGTTACCAGGGCAGGGCAAATGTACATAATATCTGATCTTAGAAAGAATGCCAACAGTTTTAGAAACTTTTTTTTTGCTATATTTTGAATGTGACCCTGGAAATTCAGCTTGTTGTCTATGAAGACACAAAGGAATTTACCATCTACTTTGCTACTAATTTGGATATTGATTATTATTAAATTAATATGATCTGAGGAT